GGGCAGCTGGGGGCATCCAGGCAGCAAAGGGGCAGTTCGTAGTGACCAGCCGACGTGAGGGGCAGTTGGGGCGACCAGGCCAGCAGGGGGGGAAGTTGGGGGTGACCAGGCTGGCATGGGGGCAGTTGGGGGCAATTAAGCTGGCAGGGGGGGCAATGAGGGGCGACAGCCTGCGGGAAGGGGCAGTTAGGGGCGACCAGGCCAGCAGAGGGTGCAGTAAGGGATGACCAGGCCAGCAGGGGGGAGTGGCAGGAGTGGCAGGAGTGACCAGGCTGGCAGGGAGGGGGAGTTGGGGGTGACCTGGGGGGCAGTTAGGGGCGAGCAGGCAGGCAGGCAGGTGAGCGATTAGGAGCCCAATCGGGCCTAAACCGACAGTCGGACATCCCCCAAGGGGTCCCAGATTGAAGAGGGTGCAGGCTGGGCTGAGGGGACCCTCCTACCCCTGTGCACGAATTTTGTGCACCAGGCCTCTAGTATACATATAAGTTCTTTGGTTGATCATTCCTGCTCCCATTCCCCCTTCCCTCTGAGATTCTTCAGTTTGTTTTATGTTTCCATGCCCCGGTTCTGTTTTTTTCATCAAGTTTTTTTTTGTTGTTGTTCATTAGGTTCTCTGTTCGTTTGTTTTGATTTTTAGATTCAATTGTTTTTTTGTATTTGTTTGTTTCTTTGTTTTTTAATCCTCACTGGCAGATATTTTTTCCATTGATTTTTAGAAAGTGGAAAAGAGGGTTAGAGTCAGAGAGAAAGATGTGAGAGAGATACATCGATTGGTTGCCTCCCCTACACACCCCGACCTGTACTGAGAATGGAGCCTGCAAACAAGGTATATGCCCTTGACCAGAATCAAATCTATGACACTTCAGTCCTTGGGCTGACACTCTAAACACTGAGCAAAACAACTAGGGCAGATTCAGTTGTTGATAGATATGCATTTTGCCATTTTATTGTTCATAGTTTAAGTCTTCTCCTTGAAGAAGACTCTTTAATATTTCATGCAATACTGGTTTGGTGGTAATGCTTTATTTGTTGTATGCAAGGATGGTACAATATCCACAAATCAATAAACGTGATACATCACATAAACAAATTGAGAGACAAAAATCACATAATCATATTGATGCAGAAAAGGCATTTGACAAAACCAAAACCCTTTCTTGATAAAAACTCTCAGCAAAGTGGGAATAGAGGGATCATACCTCAACATAATAAAAGCCTTAATATGAAAACCTACAGCCAACATCATACTCAGTGGGCACAAACTAAAACCATTTCCCCTAAGAACAGGAACAAGAGAGGGATGCCCACTCTCACCACTCCTGTTCAACATAGTACTAGAAGTGCTAGCCATAGAGATCAGACAAGAAGAAGAAAAAGACATCCAAATTGGAAAAGAAGAAGTAAAACTCATTATTCACAGATGACATGATATTGTACATAGAAAACCATAAACACTATCCAAAAACTACTAGATTTAATAAATGAATTTGGCAATGTAGCAAGATACAAAATCAACACCCAGAAATCTATGGCATTTTTATACACCAATAATGAACTCACAGAAAGAGAAACAACAAAAAAATCACATTTATCATTGTACCAAAAAAATTAAGATACCTAGGAATAAACTTAACTAAGGAGGTAAAAGATGTGTACTTGGAAAACTGAAGGACATTGAAAAAAGAGATAAAGACATAAACAAATGGAAGAATATACCGTGTTCATGGACTGGTAGAATCAACA